AGAGGTGATATTGGGAGTTGGAGCCTGAATGAGGAGGAGCAGCCTGCAGAGTCCAGAGTCCATGGGACAAGATCTGGGCAAGAGAACTCCAAGTAGACAGTAAGTGCAAAGGCCCTGATGCATGTAGGCATTTAAGCTGTTTGGAAAGCCTGGAGATTGAACGGCTGGGTGTGGTGGGAGGAAGTGGTCACTGAGATTAGAGAAGGAGCCAGACCACGGTTGCCTTTTGGACTGTGGTAAGGTATTTGGGCTTTATTTTGATTGGTCTGATTTATTTATTTATTTTTTTTGTTAATCCTCACCTGAGGATCTTTTTCCATTGATTTTTAGAGAGAGTGGAAGGGAGGGGGAGAGACAGAGAGAGAAACATCAACATGAGAGACACATCGATTGGTTGCCTCCCACACACTCTCTGACCAGGGCCAGGATTGAGCCTGCAACTGAGGTATGTGCTCAACTGGAATCGAACCCGGGACCTTCAGTCCGCAGGCCGACACTCTTAATTAACCACTGAGCCAAACCTGCTAGGGCCTGATTTACATTTTTAAAATATTTACAGTCAAGGTATAGTAAGGAACATGATTACAGGGAAGTTGTCTAGGTGAGAGAAGCAAACTTTTTTGTAAAGGATCAGATAAATATTTCAGGTTTGGTGAGCCACATAAACTCTCTAAGGCACCGCCTTTTCTTCCCCTCTGTCGGGCACCTCTTCCTCCTTTTGAACCCTCTAAAAATGTAAAAATCCTTCTTAGCCCTTGGGCGATACAGAAACAGGCGGTTGCATGCTGGATTTGTCTGCTTCACTGGGCAGTAGTTTGCCGACCCCTAGTTCAGAGAGGAGTAGAAACGGATTGCCATAAATTTAGGACACAGAACTGGTAGGATTTGCTGATGAACTAACTGGCTGTGTGGGGAGGGGGTAAGAGAAAGAGGAAACAAGGATGGCCTCAGTGAAGAAGTAGAAGGTGGTGTAATTTACTGAGATGAGGAAGAAGCAGATTTGGGATGGGGGGGAAGAGGAAATTAAGGGTTAAGTATGAGTTGCCAATTAGTCATCCAAGTGGAGATGTCAAATAAGGAGCCTGATATAGACTCTGGAGTTTAGGGAAGAGGTCAAAGCTGGAGATCCACATTTGGGAGTTATCACCTATGGATGCATTTAAAGTCATGGGACTGGCCTAGCCAGTGTGGCTCAATAGTTGAACACCAACCTATGAACCAGGGAGTCACGGTTTGATTCCTGGTCAGGGCACATACTTGGGTTTCGGGCTCAATCCTGCGTGCAGGAAGCAGCCAATCAATGATTCTCTCTCATCATTGATGTTTCTGTTTCTCTCCCTATCCCTCCCTCTCTGAAATCAATAAAAAATACATTAAAAAAACAAGTCGTGGGACTGGATGAGATCACCCAGAGTGCAGTGCAGAGGGGGTTCTGGAATTTAAGGACCCATAAAAGAGGTCCTTGGAATCACTCTCTGGGTCAAAAAGTATGTCACGTGACCAATGCTGCCCAATTGCTGCCCATCTTGTTTTAGCTACTTAAAAACACGCTGTGAGTGGGACTGTACACGCGGAGGAGCAGGGACACCGGAATTAGGAATCCTTGGCTATTTTTGCCTTGGAGCCGGGGAGCATCAAGCCACAGTGGAGGATTAGGCTGGCTAAAGGAGGTGTTGAGAGGGAGGAAGTGCTTGAGGCTTCCCAACCACAGAATCACCCAGCAAGCTCATGACAAATGCAGATTTTTACTAAGAGCTTTGAATTCATTGTCTGGAGTAAGGTGTGTTTTAAAAATGCTCCCTCTCATACAAACAGAAGGTTGAGAAATCGGTGGATTAGGGATAGATTGGGCGGAGGGTGTGTCCTCATGACGTTTCTTTTTTTTTTTTTTTTTTTTTCAACCCTGTTTGAAACTAGCCCACAGGCTGTAGGCACTGTGAGGCCAGCTTCACTATTACTTTTCCTCCTCTGCGACCACCAAGATCGGTGTTCAGATCCGATGGGAAAGGGAACTGGAGGGTCTCATGACGTTTCTTGACTTCCACAGGCTCAGGGCTTCAGGAATCTGGGTCTAATTAGGGAAGTTTCAGGATGAGGGGATGGAAGGGGGACTCTCAGGCCAGGAAGAAATGTGTTGGGACACTTTCCGTTTGCTCTTCAATTCAGAATGAGGCTGTTTCTCCACAGTGATGTAAAATGGTACATTTTTCATGCAGATGCAATTTAAAAACATGGGGTCCCCAGGAGTATCTACTTAGCCTTGTAGTTCCACCGCATAGAGGGGAGATTTATTTTTTTCTGTCTTTATATGAAAACAAGAACACATTTTTCAATTCAAATACAAGATATGCATGTTGTTAATGAAACTGAAACCTCACTTTATATACATTACGGATTTGTGTGAAAACAGCTAAGGAATAATGTAAGGAATTCGCTGTTAGGCCTTCTGCTAGACCAGTGATGGCGAACCTTTTGAGCTCGGCGTGTCAGCATTTTGAAAAACCCTAAACTAACTCTGGTGCCCTGTCACATATAGAAATTTTTTGATATTTGCAACCATAGTAAAACAAAGACTTATATTTTTGATATTTATTTTATATATTTAAATGCCATCTAACAAAGAAAAATCAACCAAAAAAATGAGTTCGCGTGTCACCTCTGACACGCGTCAAAGGTTCGCCATCACTGTGCTAGGAGCTAAGGAATCAATCTTGCATTCATTGAACCACTGTTCATTTTGCCTTCTAAATGCCAGGCACTATTTTAGGTTCAGCGGATAAAGCAATGAACAAAATAAAAATACCTGCCCCCCACAAAACAGATAACCTAGCTAGGAAAACAGATTCATAAACATGATATGTAAAATGTATATTATATTAGATAGTGGTGAGCGCTAAGGAGAAAAATGTAAATGAGGGAAGGAGGGTAGGAAAGAGTTAGGGACTGGTGGATGAGTGAGAATACAGGACAAGAAAGGATGAGACCTGTGATTTAGGAAAGTAAGAATTTCTCTAAGTCTCAATTTCTTCATCTGTAACATAATAAATAATAGCGCCTTCCCGAAGAAGGCTCAGGCCCTTAGACTGACTTTGTCACTTTTAAACTTTGAGCCTCTCAGAATTTCTTTGGCTTCTCTGAACCTGTTTTCTTATCTGTGACATGAACAGACTTGTCCAGTCTATGTCACATGGTTTTTGAAAATATCAAAGGAGATCTGTGAAAACAGCTGAAAATGTAGATGCTCTTATCTAAATGTCAGATAGAAATTTAAAGGAAAAAACCACACAGCTAGTTTATGGACTGCAAATCTCTTGCTGATGGTCAGCAGAGCCTCAGGACTGATTCCAAACGAGGAACTACATAGCTGCTTGGTACTGATTCCCTACACTGCAGGGAAAAGGCCCACGAAAATTACCAGAAGATTATTAGGACCTACCAGTAGACTAGCAAGCTTATCTTAGATCAGGAATAAAATAAACTAAATGTTCCTAAGTGGACACCTCATCAAATCGTTGTAGCATGTTATTTGTCAGATTTTAAAATGCTTTATTGCTAAAAAAAAAAAAAAAAAAAAAAATGCTTTATTGCTCCTTTATGTTTGTTCTTGTTTTGTTTGTGGGACTTCGGTTCCAGGAAAAGAACTACATGGATTGCAAGCAGTTATAAATAAAGAATAATCATTCAAATTACCAAGAGCAGCCCTGGCCGGTTTGACTCAGTGGACAGAGCGTGGGCCTGCGGACTGAGGGTCCCGGGTTCGATTCCGGTCAGGGGCATGTACCCGGGTTGCGGGCACATCCCCAGCGGGGGGTGTGCAGGAGGCAGCTGATCGATGTTTCTAACCCTCTATCCCTCTCCCTTCCTCTCTGTAAGAAGTCAATAAAATATATATATACTTTTTAAAATTACCAAGAGCAGATAGTCCATGCTCTGGGTATTTCTGTAGATACGCAGTAAACACTAACCAAAGTAGATAATTTCAAACACAGACTGGAGCGTATTCCTTTTTCCTCTTTCTATTTTCTTCGGCCCTGAATATCTGGTAGCATCCCAACAGAGGTTTGTTCAACCAATAAACATATTGGTATACACCGCAGGGGAAATAGCGTCTGGCACACAGCAGGTACTCAGTAAATAACTGTGAAACAAACGCACGATTCCTGTGTAAATTTGCTTACTACAGGCACTAGCCACTTGGATCCCTAAAACGTGTGTGCGTTTAAAACACACAAACTCTTGCCTTCCCTTGACAATGCTCCTCTGGTAAACCGACGTAGGTCCTGCTCTGAGCCTGGATTAAAACAGTGCTTTATTCCATTGAAATACAAAACCCAAAGTCAGTTTGAACATTACCCAGTCTAGCGGGCGCTCAACGTTTGCTAAATAAGATGCACATTCAGAAAGCAAACAGTTACGCCAGCCCAAATATCCCACTCAGGAGCCTGAACGGGGCCGCCCGCCCGGTTCACAGCTCCCGGGTGACCGCCAGACCTTCTCTGAGGCGCCGGCCCCCGCTCGCCTCGGAGCCACGGAGTCTTTCCGCTCAGCCTCCCCAAGTTTTCCTCTCAAGCGGTCAATGTCCCGGTTGTCATTCAGGCGGCTTTGCACTGCGACTGCGCACCTTCCGCCCCCGCCTCCGCCTCCGCCCCGCCTCCGCCCCGCGCGCCCGGGGGGCAGCCCGACCGGCCCAGCAAAGGACCTTGTGGCTGTTTCCTATTGGGCCTTGGTTGCTATGGTATCGCACCCGCCTTAAAACTTGCAAGCACTGCTTCCGCCAGTTGAAGGAGAATTACTTCCGGGTCTGCCCTTACTTGTTATGGCTGACTGAACAGTCACTGAACTCAACACAAGTAAGTTTCCCGGAAATTTTCTAGAAAATTTTACTTAGCCACTCTAACTTATTGGTGTGGCGTGATATCATGTCCTTTTTTCCCTTTTATAAGATTTACTATACGTTTTTTTGTCTATTTGCCAGTCTCCAAAATGGCGCGTGCGCCGCCGGTAGGCCAGAGGTGAGTCACGTGGGCCCTCCGGTTCCGCCGCGGCCGAGGCCCGGGTGTTAACAGTCTCCGGCACCATGTCTCGTTTGTCTGGCCTACAAGTCCAGCGTGGCCCTTGCCAGTTAGCATTGCTGCTTTTACCTCTCCTGCTCGGCCCCAGTTCGGTTCTCGCCATCTCCTTCCATCTGCCCATCAACTCCCGCAAGTGTCTCCGCGAGGAGATCCACAAGGACCTGCTGGTGACGGGCGCGTACGAGATCACCGACCAGTCTGGGGGTGCTGGCGGCCTGCGCACCCACCTCAAGGTGCGGCCCAGGGCGGGGCGGGACGGGCAGACCTCGGGCGTTGGCGAGGAGAGGCCGAGGATGCGGGTGGGGGGGTGTCCGGCCTGGCCTCCCGGAGCGCAAAGGGCGGGCGGTGGAGTCCGCCCCCTCGCCCTGCTGGTTGGCGTTGGCGGAGGGGGGCTGGGCGCCAAGGCGGGGGAACCCGGAGAAGGGCGCGAGGCCTTGGCCTTGGCGGATGTGGTGACAGCCGAGCCGGGGCGACCCCCACTTCGGTCGTTGGCGGGGCCCGTGTCGGTTTTGGTCTTTGGTACTTTGAACTGTAACTCGATTCTCCAGAGAAGCCTTCAGATGTTGGGTTCTTGCGGGGATCGACACAAAGACACACTGCGCCCTGCAGAGCGCGCTCGATAGTGGAGGTAGAATTAGGTATCACCCTTGTAAGGAAGATGATGGAGGCATTGGCGCTTCCTGGGAATAATGACACCGGGTGTTTATTGAGCGTTAGCTGTGTCCGATCTTGTGCTTTTACGTTCATCTCCGTGTGGTCCGGACGCTCCTCTGTGAAGCGGGTGCATTAGCGTCATTTCCCGCCTAAGGACACCGAGGCCCGGAGAGGATGCCGGGGCTGGAACTGATTCTTGGTTTGGAAGTGACGGGAAGGGACAGTGCTGGAATTTTGTTCTCGCCTTGCTTTTTATTTGTCATTCCTGTCATTGACGACAGTTTAGTCGGTTAAAACTGAGACCGTCCATCCGTTGGTCTCGGCTTCCAGGGCTGCCCTTCCTGGCTCCCCAGAGTCTGGCCCGGCCAGGCTTTTTGTGAATTTCAGCCCTACTCTCTCCCGTGGTGACAGCTCCCGCCACAGCGCTGGTTGGGTCCCGTTTTGCCATTAGGGTGACCGGAGTGTGATCATTGAGGTCATTTTATTCACTCACAATAAGCACGTGGTTTTATTTTTGTTTTTAACAGAATGGGTCTTAGACTGAATAGTAAGAAACATTTTTACTTTTTTTAAAAATTTTTTATTGATTAAGTTATTACATATGTGTCCTTATCCCCACGTTACCCCCCATCCCCCCCCCCCCCCCCCCACTCGTGCCCTCACTCCCCTGTTGTCTGTGTCCATTGTTTAGGCCTGTATGCTTGCATTTAAGTCCTTTGGTTGATCTCTCCTCCTTACCCCCACCCTCCCCTCATTTTTACTTTTTCATAGCACTTAGGTATAAGAGGACCATAGTTTCTGTGTAAGGTATTGGAACCCAGTCGTGGTAATAGAGTGAGAAACTGTTTTCAGGGCTACTTGTTCAGTGACCCATCCTTTTATTAGTTTCCGCAGGTACCAAACTAATGTCTAGCCAAGAAAGCCATGATGGCGTAACATTTTGGGGGTCATGCTTCTGGCTCTTCAACCGATGCTGTGCCTAGAATCAGAGGATTTGAACGGTGAAGGAGACTTCCCTCTCATTTGCAGTGCTGCCCCATCTGACTTGTAATTATGTCTTAAAATCCTTCAGCAGCTTACGCGTGCTCATCTGATAAAGTTTCAATTTTCCAACATGCCCTATAGTGACTTCATGATCTGTTCCTGAAGCTTTATATACTTGGTCACTCCGTACTTTGCATTTCACATATGAGGCACCCTGAACAGTATCCTAAGCTCACTTATTTTCATCTTACATTGTAACCACTTACGTTTATACCTTGTCTTCCTTATTAGACTGTTAGTATCCCGAGGGCAGGAATTATTTTCATGTTTGTATTTTTCAGAATGTCAAGCATACTGCCTTGCTTCTAGTAAGCACTTAATAAATATAAGAAGCATGGTACAGCATGGCCTTATGGGAATTATATCTGTGTCCAAAGCTGCTGAAGGAACGTCAACAGTAGGAGTCTGTATATCTATATGCTAGCACTTTGCCATTATGCAGTTTATCTCCCCATGCCTGCTCTGTTCTCTTGTTTCTCATCACTCCTGGGGTCCTAAACCGAGTTGTCAAGTAGGTAACATAAATGCATGAACTAAGCCAGGCATAAGAAAAAGGACAGCAGTGGTGATAACTGGGGGATAATTGGGAGTATTGGAAACTTAATTTGGAGTGGTCAGTACTCATTTCTTGATATGGGCCTTGTTGCCATATCTGATTATTCAAAGTCAGAAATTCAAGCCTCTGATTTTTAAATATCACCATTTAATTCAAATTGGTTTTGGCATTATTTGTTTTCAGTTTTATGGAGAAGAGCACAGTCAGTTGACCATATACCCAATAACCAGATTCACCAATCAATAGGATCTTGCCACACTTTTTTCATTGTAATTGCTTCCCCATTCTCATTTTATGCTGAATTATTTAAAAATAAATCCCAGATATCATGGATTTCAGTCCTGCATACTGCTGCATGAATTTCTTAAAACTATGAACAAAATCACAATGTTATGCAGCTATAATCACACCTCATGAGATTTTTTAAAATATATTTTTATTGATTTCAGAGAGGAAGGGAGAGGAAAAGAGAGATGGAAACATCAATGATGAGAAAGAATCATTGATCAGCTGCCTCCTGTCCGCTTCCTACTGGGATTGGGCTGGAAACCCAGGCATGTGCCCTGACTGGGGATCGAACTGTGTGACCTGCTGGTTCATAGGTTGGCGCTCAGCCACTGAACCACACTGGCTGGGCAGATGTGGACATTTTGGGTGGTGTGGGAGGGCAGGAGATGCCATTGTTCTCAGATGCCTACTGAGATGGTAGTGCCCTGAAGCCTCCATTATAAAGCTTCCCATTAATTTTTCTCTTATGAGTCCATTGATGACTTGTATGAATTTATTGTTTCATTGAAGTTATGAAATTATTTTCCAATTCTGTTATTCCTTCCATATTTATTGGCTGGAATTATTCTTAAAGAATTTAAGACCACTTGGTTAGCCAAAAATTTATAATTCATATAGGAAAAGTAGGAAAAATAGACTTCATTTCTTTTTTTCTTTTTTTAATCCTCATCCAAAGATATTTCTTTTTTAGAGAGAATAGAAGGGAATGGGGGGAGAGAGAAACATTGATGTGAGAGAGACACATCAATTGGTTGCCTTCCGCTTGCCCCCCCACCCCCCCACCAGGCCTGGGGATCGAACCTGCAACTGAGGTACATGCCCTTGGCTGGGAATTGAACCCGAGATCTTTCAGTACACTGGCTGATGCTCTAAGCATTGAGCAACGGGCCAGGGCAGAATTCAGTTCTTTTAATTGACATTTTTCACAGTGAGGCATTCTTGCTCTTGTCATTTCCAGTGTAGTCCAGAGGGTTAACTATTATTCTGAAATTATTTTTTGTTGTTTGTTTCAGTTTTTAGAGTCATTGGTTTAGTCAGTTGCATTCGTTATGTCTCTGGCTCCTTTATCCTTTTGACACAATCCCTGGCATAGGTTTTGATAGCTTCACTGTTTTGTGGGACAGTAAGGTGTCCTAGGCGCATCTTTTGTATGTCCAACCCCTGATCTGGAGGCAGCTTTTCCTCCAAGGAGTTCTGGTTCCTTTTTGTGAGGAGTGGTATTTTAGAAACCACAAGCTGGGTATTATTTTTAAAATTTTAATATACTATGTAGGCCACAGAATACATTTGTGGGTTTGATCCAGCTCTTCATCACAGTTTGCCACCTTTTTCATAGTATCTGTTCGCTCAGTTGTGCTTTCTCTTAAATTTTGACCACTTGTGGACCAGACTCTGCCTCAGTGATTCTCTTTGTTCATCATTCAACTTCTGAAATGCAGCCCCTGAACGTAAAAATCTGATTGGTTCGGCTCCTTTTATGCCAGGCCACATTCTGGGTCTTCTCTTTGGTCATATGTTCATCTCTGGTTCAAGCAGCAGGAGTTTGGGTTGAGGTTAGGAGAACTGGAGACTTTGTGTAGTGCAAAACCTGGTCAACTGGGATTGGCATTTAGCTGTTGCTCTGAATGAAGCAGTCTCTCTTAGAAGAATATAGTGCCTTGATTGAGCTGTCTAATCCACTTTCTTCCTGTCAAAGAGCACCTTAATGTCCAATAAGTACATCAGTGTTGTCATATGTCACTCTACGTTATACTGTGTTTTTACCCATCTCCTCATAGACTAAAAGCTCCTTGAGCAGAGACTATCTCATTCATCATTGAAATGCTTGTGTCTAATACAGTGCCTGGCATATATTAGGGCTTCAGTGTAAGGGATAAATGAACATAAATGAATTGTCACTATCCTAGCCTCATCTCTGATCTTTCCTTCTCCCTTTCTCTTCACTTCCTCCTCCCACTCCCACCTCTAGCTGTACTGAACACCGTACAGTTATTTGAATACAATATTCTCTTAATTGGACCAGTCTTTGCCCCTACTCCCCTCCTGTTTGCTTCCATTACATCTTGTTTGGTAAGGCACTTTTCATGTTGTATGGTGCTTACTTTGTGAACTCCTTAATGTCTTATTCATCTTTGAGTCCTCAGTTTAATGTATTATATATGCATTATTGTACAACTATGTTAAATATCTTAGTGTTACTGAGGAGCTATGTGGTACATTGGAAAGAGACTGGACCTGGAGTCAGACAGTTTCGGGTTTAAATCCCAGCAGTTCACCACTTACAGGGTGCATGGTCTTGGGGGAATTACTTAACCCTTTCCTTGGGCCCTTATCTATAAGATGGGGATGATAGATCTCAAAGAATTGATAGAAGGACTTATTGAGATGTGTTCTATATTGCACAGGGCTCATTATGGTAGCCATAGATATTATATTAGTACTCCTCTCTTGTATGATAATTGACTTGCTAATCTGACTTCCCAGTCATATATCATTGTAGCAACCAGTTAAAGAGTATTTTAATGGGAGGAATTCTGAGTATTTTGTTTGTGATTCTTCCATTCACTCAGTAAATACTTGATATTTAGTATATTCCAGACCTAGCTGGGGATATGGAAATGAACATCAAACAAGGTCCTTGAACTCTGGTGGAGAACAGAGAAAAAACAACTTAACAAATACACATAATAG